GAATTCCTCAGCCAGCCATGCTGGCTGAGGAATTCTGGGAGGTGAAGTCCACCCATCTGAAAGTTGCCAAGGTTGAGAAACACTGCTCTAGTATAATTCATATCCTTTTGTTGACATTGCACTGCAACAAAGACAATTTTGCTATCACAACTTGGCCATTTTGGTGGCACTATTTTCGAGCGGGCTCTGAGGATCATAAAAATGAGGCTGTGGATTGCCCACTGCTGTTCTAAATGATGGGCTGCACCTTATTGTATCATCTTCCTTTCTTTTTCTCTTTTTACCAGGTACAGGACCTTGAGAAAATTCATGGTATTACAGCTAAGCAAATAGACTCTTTTATGAAGGTATGCATTCAGTTAAGTTTGTACTCAGGACAGAGAAGGATTATCTACAGATTACCTAATATAGTTGGATCAGAATTCCAATTAGCAGTGTGGCCAGTGGACAGGAATGATAGAAGTTGTCACTCAACATCTGGAAAGTCACTGCTTTCCCATCTTTGTGTGTGGGTTTAAAAAAAAAAGGCGGATATAACATGAATGCTCTATTTAATCATAGAATCCCAATTTATTCCGGCATCAACCTTAAAGTATTAGCACAAAGAAAAATAATGGTAAACAGTGGAACCAAATGGCTACAAAGAAGTATATAGTTTCTTATTCAAGGCCAGAAAAGTTACTAGCTTCATAATTTGCTAACAAAAATAACAATTCTGCCTTTTAATGAGAAGTGATCTAGCACATCAGAGGTTGATTGCTCTGGAAAGACTTCCCCTGTGTTTCTTTTCTACTATAAAGCAGAGTTTGCCTCTCTTACCAGCAGCAAAGGAGAGATTGAGTGATTTATTCTTACTCCAGCAGCCCTATTCACTTTCCTAGATAGAATTCCTTGCCACCTATAGCAATTAGGTTAGTAATTAAACTTAGTTAAGGCATAGTTTGTAACTGCTCTGTTAATGGCTTGATACTACAATGGCTAGTTTGCATGTTCTAGTAAGGCACGATTCCCAATTTAGCAGTGGCATTTGATGGATTATGAAACCGTTATGTCCATGAGCTATAGAAGACAATTTGGTTGCTTGATCAAGTTAGCAAGCCAGGAAACTAAATTAAGAATAGCTTTCCATTATATTTCAACATAAGACTATGGTTAACTCCAGGAGAAATTAGATGCTAGAGTAAAACCAGGCCTTAATTGACATACAAATCCTGAGTTACTTAGGATTGTCCTGGATTTGAAAGCAATGGAGGCTATGTTTCATGCAGAAGCTTTATTTAACTTGGAAGGTTAAATAAAGGTTCTTGGAAACCTTCAGTAACTGGACTGGCACTGTGAAACTGCTTTCCCTGTACCAGGCTTATTTTTTTTTTAATTAACATTGCTTGTACAGTATGTTCATTTTTATTTAACTAATAGGTTAAAAAAAATTTTTTTAAAGCACAGGGCACAAAAAGAGAGACAGCTGTGTACCTAGAATTGGTCGTGCTTAGAGCAGACCTGAAATTAATTAAACCTTCGATTGTCATCACTAACTTGATCCGCTGTAATTGATGGATCTATTCTCAGTTTGGATGCATCTGGATCCAGACTACAGCAGGGGAAGCTTCCATGCTAAACAAGACTGGTTTCTTCAAGATAGGTTAATGGAGATTGGGTTCTTATATCTGTCCTGAGTGACCCAGTTGGACAAATTACAAAGGAGGCTTCAATCATACAGACAGTCGGGCAATGCCTGTTGATGGAACAGTTCAGTCAGTGGCTGCATTTGAGTATCTCTGGTCAATATAGGCTTAATATTGCTCTTTTCCAATTATCCAGGCAAATATCTTCAACTTTCTTGGAAACCTTCAGTAACTGGACTGGCACTGTGAAACTGCTTTCCCTGTACCAGGCTTTTTTTTTTTTTATTAACATTGCTTGTACAGTATGTTCATTTTTATTTAACTAATACAGGTATTTAGCTATATTACATGTGTAAATTTCAGCACAATATTTTTAATTTGCTCATTGCTCACATTTGGCTAATCTTCACTGGAAACAGTCCAGAATTCACAACTATCAAAACATCGACATTCTACATAAAGAAGAGGGGAGTAACTTCAGTGGAGGAATAAGGAAAAACGATGGATTTTAAGTTTTAGACAATGCTTTTTCAGACTATTTCCTCTCTTTTCAGTTTCCTTGTCCTTTGTCAAAAATTCTGATCTTAAGCTAGTTATGAGTATTATTCCAAAGGTTTGTGTACATTTTCCATCCTATATTAAAAATTTGGGTGCAACCAACCTACAACAATGTTTATTTTGTATTGAAAAAAGCACTGGCCCAACTAACCAAGCTTTGTAGATGGAAAATTTGGAATATGTCCCCTCATTGCTAATGGTCAAGGATAACAGTTGCTCATGGGTTCCTTAGTTTTATTCTAGAGCACAGTTGCTACTCTGCTAGGGGTTGTATGCTTTGGATTCACACAAATCAGTACAAATTTTCTTCAAACTATTTGACTACGAACTCCCACAAAACCAATTCTTTCTAAATACTAATACATTCTTGACTCAAATGATACTTCCTGTTTAAGCTCTGCAGAGCAAACAATCTTGAAAAACCAAGTGAGGTTTTATTAAAACTGCTCTGAAAGAAACTTGGCAAAGGAAATATGGGTAATATATGAAAACAGGGGCAAAACAATTGTATTCTCACCTGAGAAGGGAAATATTTGGCATCTTAAAATGCACAAACAGTCGTGTGAAAAAGAAAGTACACCCTCTTTGAGTTCTATGATTTACGTATCAGGACATAATAAAAATCATCTGGTCCTTAGGAGTTCTCAAAAGTAGGTAAAGACAACCTCAGATGAACAACAACACATGACATATTACACCATGTCACCGTTTATTTTACAAAAATAAAGCTAAAATGGAGAAGCCATGTGGGAAAAACTAAGTACACCCTTACTG